GTATACTTTGACATATAATTTTATGTATTAAATCCAAATTGATATGTGGTTATTATTTTTAAAAAATTCCCAAGAGTTATACAGGAACACATAGGAATGCTTAAAATAACTCTATTTCTTACTTTAAAAAGTTAGTTTATAATTTACAGCAGTCTGAACTCTAAATGAAACAGTAAACCATGTTAGTGATTTCTTCATAGTTGACTAGAATTCCAGAACTGAAAAGTGAATCTCTAGTATCATGGCCTCTGAAATTAAAGTGTTTTTAGTGTATCCCAGTTAAAAGGGATCTTGAAAAATCAGAGATCCTAAAATTGGATTCCCCACAATGCACAAACAAAAGCTTTACTCTTTAGAATGGGGCCATCTATGATTAACCCTACTGGAGTTAATGATTTTGTTGACATTTCTGACATATCCAGACTCTCCTCTCACTATGAACTAAACTTGGAACATTGTCATTTTATCTTCCGGTGACAGAAATAGTAATAAATTGCCCTTAGATTTCATTTTTTGCATCTTGTTATTGAGCACAGAGAGGTATGAATTTAGTAAATAAGGAAAATGTGGATGAAAAACAAGAGGAATTAAAAACTTGCTCTAAAAGAAAATAGATTACTATTACCCCTCTTTATAAATTGTCAGGATTACAATTTGTATATCCCTTCTACAGATGTACTCTCCTTGACTTAGTAAACAGGTACTGGATTTCATTTAAATCTACTTCTTATAGTAGTACATATACACAATGGAATATTATGCAGCCATAAGAAAAAAACAGATTCTACCATTCACAACAACATGGATGGAGCTAGAGGGTATTCTGCTCAGTGAAATAAGCCAAGTGGAGAAGGACAAGTACCAAATGATTTCACTCATATGTGGAGTATAAGAACAAAGGAAAACTGAAGGAACAAAACAGCAGCAGTATCACAGAACCCAAGAATGGACTAATAGTTACCAAAGGGAAAGGGACTGGGGACGATGGGTGGGAAGGGAGGGATAAGGGTGGGGAAAAAGAAAGAGAGCATTACGATTAGCATGTATAGTGCATGGGGGACACAGGGAGGGCTGTGCAACACAGAGAAGACAAGTATTGATTTTACAGCATCTTGCTATGCAGATGGACAGTAACTCTGAAGGGGTATGTGGGGGAGACTTGGTGAAGGGGGGAACCTAGTAAACATAATGTTATTTCTGTAATTGTAGATTAATGATACCAAAATTAAAAAAAATGACATCCTTTGAAGAGGATGTTCCACAAAAAAAAAAAATTCTACTTATAGCATATTAAACATTGTTCTTTACATTTCTAAAGCAGATAACCTCCCTGGTATGGTTTCTATTTCAGTACACATATTATTTAACTAGAAGAGGATGCCTTTCACTTTAAAGATATATTTAGGTCCTTTTAAAAGAAAATCTTTAACCTTAGAAACTGTTACAATATATACATCTTTCACCTGCTGACACTTTCTGGAAGTATGTGATCTGATAATATATCTGGTGGAGTTGCAGTAAGACAATAGTTATTTGGAGTTCACTGCCTGAGCGAATATTGCATTTTGAAGGCATTCAATTCTAAGTGTCCCAATGTTACCCTATAATACTCCCAAACCCATAAAAAAAATTTTTTTGTAGAAATCCTTGCTCAAGGTCACATGTAATGCATAAAGAACATTATTTCCAATCTCTTTATTCACATTCATATATTCACTAATATATATTTGGATTGACTAATTTATTGGGGGGTAAGTGAATATTTGTAAAAAGAAATTTTAAAAGAAATTTTAATTGTCATTGGATATCTAATGCCAGCTATTATTTAAAAGAAATATTCTAGAAGCGACTACTACAAATATACTGGAATGCCTTTTATAACTCTGATTTTACAAAACAAAGATATTACAATATCTTTATTATTTTCCTTTTGGGACTGAAGCCACATTCTATGCAGAAACAATTTTTTATGTTGTTCTCCAATAATAAAAGAGAAATTTCTGAGTAAGATATTAATTTGAATATTTACATCACCCCCTACTGTCATTTTCATGGTCTCCTGATATGTCCAGGACTGTACCAATGTTAAAACAAGAATTCAATCTTAGGCTTCTGGGTTCTCTAGTTGAGCCAAAGGACTAAGTGTGACTTGGTCACACTTTACTCATAATGTAGACTACTAATTAGAATTTTGGAAAATGGTTAAAATTCTACTGCCAGTAGAGAATGTAAAACAAGTGAATTGTCATAAATCATCACAAAACTAGTGAATTACATTTAACAGCATTACTCATCCATACCTTTTTTTTTGCTTTGTAATATATATTTTTTTGGTATCATTAATCTACAATTACATGAGAAATATGTTCACCAGACTCCCCCCTTCACCAATTCCCCCCCACATACCCCATTAGTCACTGTCCATCAGCGTAGTAAGATGCTGTAAAATCACTACTTGTCTTCTCTGTGTTGCACAGCCCTCCCCGTGACCCCCAACATTATACGTGCTAATAGTAAGCCCCCCTTTCTTCTCCCCCTTCTCCTTCCCTTCCCACCCATCCTCCCCAGTCCATTTCCCTTTGGTAACTGTTAGTCCTTTCTTGGGTTCTGTGATTCTGCTGCTGTTTTGTTCCTTCAGTTTTTCCTTTGTGCTTATATTCCACATATAAGTGAAATCATTTGGTACTTGTCTTTCTCTGCCTGGCTTATTTCACTGAGCGTAATACCCTCTAGCTCCATCCATGCTGTTGCAAATGGTAGGACTTGTTTTCTTCTTATGGCTGAATAATATTCCATTGTGTATATGTACCACATCTTCTTTATCCATTCATCTACTGATGGACACTTAGGTTGCTTCCATTTCTTGGCTATTGTAAATAGCACTGTGATAAACATAGGTGTGCATACATCTTTTTCAAATTGGGCTGCTGCATTCTTAGGGTAAATTCCTAGGAGTAGAATTCCTGGGTGAAATGGTATTTCTATTTTGAGCTTTATGAGGAACCTCCATATGGCTCTCCACAATGGTTGAACTAATTTACATTCCCATCAGCAGTGTAGGAGGGTTCCCCCTTCTCCACAACCTAGCCAACATTTGTTGTTGTTTGTCTTTTGGGTGGTGGTGATCCTTACTGGTGTGAGGTGATATCTCATTGTGGTTTTAATTCACATTTCTCTGATGACTAGCTATGTGGAGCATCTTTTCATGTGTCTGTTGGCCATCTGAATTTCTTCTTTGGAGAACTGTCTGTTCAGTTCCTCTGACCATTTTTTAATAGGATTATTTGCTTTTTTTTTGTTGAGGTGCATGAGCTCTTTATATATTTTGGATGTCAATCCTTTATCGGATCTGTCATTTATGAATATACTCTCCCATACTGTAGGATGCCTTTTTGTTCTATTGATGCTGTCCTTTGTGTACAGAAGCTTTTCAGCTTCATATAGTCCCACTTGTTCATTTTTGCTTTTGTTTCCCTTGCCTGGGGAGATATGTTCATGAAGAAGTCACTCATATTTATGCCCAAGAGATTTTTGCCTATGTTTTTTTCTAAGAGTTTTATGGTTTCATGACTTACATTCAGGTCTTTGATCCATTTCGAATTTACTTTTCTGTATGTGGTTAGACAATGATCCAGTTTCATTCTCTTACATGTAACTGTCCAGTTTGCCAACACCAACTGTTGAAGAGGCTGTCATTTTCCCATTGTATGTCCATGGCATACAATTATTGTATATTAATTGACCATATATGTTTGGGTTAATGTCTGGAGTCTCTATTCTGTTCCACTGGTCTTTGGGTCTGTTCTTGTGCCAGTACCAAATTGTCTTGATTACTGTTGCGAGCTGCATTTTTGATGTAGTGAGTAGATACTCAGATATCTGATGAACATTTGCAATCATTGAATGAATTACAGTGTTATGTAAAAATTCACATGAGGAGGCACTTGAGTAGCATGTTAGAAACTGGTCATTGGTAAGGGAAAATGCAAAAAAAACAGCCTTTATTTAGTAATAATGAAAACATTTTCACTTAATATTACTGAAGGTCTCCAGATATATTAAGATGTTGGTCAAACATCATAAAAATGGTAAATGCCATGGCTAAAAACCTCTGCCTATGTTTTGCTATTTACCATTTAGAGTCTCTTTTCAATAGATGATGACAGAAAACTTTCATATTCAGAGTTGGTCATTTTTATTTCAACTTATTTGGGAGGAAAATGAAGAAATCTGTATAACCAAATACAGTATCATTTGTACATCTAGATGGTATTATTTTTCAAATCCACAAACTAACTAAATTATTTGATAGTTGGTAAGTTACTAATGTCCACTCTTTCCCAGAACCATTTCTTTTCATTGTTCCTTTGGGAAACTAAAAAATGTTTGCAAAGTCCAGGGTTGTAATGTCTTCTGAATCAGCTGTCTTTGAAATTAGGCATATGTGTTAGGCATTGAAATTTCACTGATGGCAATACTCACTAGAAAAAAATGAAGCAAATGTAACAAAAGAATCGACTGAATACAAAAATGTTGGTATTTGTTTTTTCTGTACCTTTGGATTTTAAAATGTGAGTCTTTTCTTTTGTATTTTAATCAAAGATGCGGGCATCTCTAATGTATTTATCACAGCAAATTGGGAAGTCTTAACTAGTCAGTAAGATCTGAAAATCATTTTAAGTAGTCACAACATTTGATAGTTACTATAGCTAACAAATAATGCTTGAAAACCATATAAAGTGGTCAGTTCACAGATGGCACTTTATTTACCATGGTGGTTTAATCTACAACTGATAGTAAATAGTTGGTAGCTGCATAAAAATAAAAATATTTTTAATTTTTATGGAATTTCGAAACTTGTTTTTAAGAGGTGTTTAATTAAAGTGAAGTTTCTTTTGCATGTGTGGTTTTTAAAACATACCCTTTTGCACATGAATGTGAGGTGAGCAATATAGCTGCAAGTAAATAGGTGGTGGTCTTGATGTTACATAATAAGTAGGCTACCCTCCCTCAGCAGCAAAGTATGGAGCAGGCTGATAAAAGCAAGTTACATTGTTTGTATTGGGTAGGCTATTGTGCTCTCCAAGTACTTTTAAAGCCATAAGGGTGATCATATTAAGGGTCTGTCTTCTCTTGTAACCCATGAGGCAAACAGTGCTTTCATTCACAACTCCACACAAGGTCATAAGGTAGTTATACTTGTTATTTTCTTCACCTATGAAATGGTTGTGGAGATATGATTCAATGTTCTTTTGCTGTTCTGCTACATCAGGAAAATCAATGAAGAATCTAGAACACATATAACATTCCAGAATCTTGATTTCTGCTTCACAAGCTGGCTTAAAATTATGATCTAGCAAGTTGCTATAGTTCAGAAGGCCACCACCTCTAATCTCTTCAGGTTTTCTGCGAGATATCAGCTTGTACTGCAAATGTGTCATTGCTTCTTGGAAGTTTCCATACATAGTTTCAACTACCACAACAGGATAGGATTCTTTGTTTAGCTTAGCATTTTTGTCACTGTAGAATTCTAACATGGGATCCAAAACAATTTGAAAGGAATCTACACTAAACTCAAATTGTCGTCTGAGTGAATTCACAAATTTTAGCTCTACATTCTTCCCAGTATTATTTGAAAGAGAGATGAGACTCCAACGATCATGCTTATTGCAAACTTTGACCATCTTCTGCACATAAGCCGCTTTCATGGTCTTTAGAGTGATCTTTTCCTTTTTAACACTTTCCAGTAAAAAGTCAAGCAGGCAACCTAGAACTGTATCCTTAACAACCTGAAATTGCTGATCACTTGGTAGTTCAACGCCAAAAATAATATCTAGATCCTTATAGCTGATTCCATTGTGGCTGGCTGTGGAACCATTCAATCGGGTACGCTTAACAATAATTTCTTGCCCTATTAGTTGATCTTTCACAACATGAATGATATATTTTGGTTTTACCTCCAATGTGGGGAAATGCCCCCTTCCATGGACTGGAATTACTTCATCTAACACTTGATTCAGTGTTATAACTTGATCCCATGTGAGATTGCTGAATCTGATTTCAGACATTGTGAAGTCAGTAGATCAACTAGAAACCACAATATTGAAAGGAAATGTTAGCATCTTGAAGTTGATGTTATACCTAAAGCGTATGAAAAAGTTAAAAATAGACCTATCCTCAACACAAACCAAACTAATACTAGGGAGTAAATTATCTATGTGTCTAATTGTGTTTAAATCTCTTAGTGAAATAAAAGCCACTATGATTATGTCAAAACTGTTAGATCCATTTGTACAGCAAACAGACATTCTCAGGGATTTGTTAGAGGTCTAATTATTTTTTATGTAAATGGAGGCCTTCCTCAATCTTTCTTCATGTATATAATATAACAGCATTTGTTTGGTGGCACGAATTTTTTTCATGAGAGAACCATAGCACATAATTGAGGTCAATTGTCATGAATTTAAGGTGAGATTAGATGACTTACATGTGTGTATTAGACCCAGCTGACAATGGCATAATGTTTAAAAGCAATATATATCATCTTTAATCTAAAAGCATCAGAACATTCATATATATATATATATATACACATATTCATATATATTTACGATATATATTACATATTCATATATAATATATATTATTCAGCTTCATATCTATTACTGCCCTCATTTAAAAGATTACTTAACATCTTGAATTACTTGAGGATAAGGATTATACCTAATTCATCACCTCTTCTATGTGCCTAGTAACCATACAAGAAATGTCAATCCAAGGAAATAATGAATGTCATTTTAAAATGAAAAACAAATGACATCTCCAAATTTGTCTGCAAAATCAAACTAGAATATACAAAATCATAAGATTCCTGAGCTTAAAAAGTGTTTTCTGCAGATGTGTAATATGATATACTCAGAAAATGTTACAGTTGGTGCGGTGTTAGGAAATTAAAGTTATAAACACTATAAATGTAATAAACATAATTTAACTTTCAACTAATATTGCCAAAAGAAAATTGTCATCTTCAAAGTAAATTTGCATATTCAGAAAGGAATTTGGGAACTTATTCTATATCAAATAAAATTTCGTATTTACATGTTATGTAATTAGTTACAATTATAGCTATTACATGTATCTTAAAATAATCTAAGCTACCTAAGCAAATACATTTAGGACATTAAATAAAGTTAATCATAGATGTAGCTTTGGGTTTGGGCTTTCTTCCTGAATTTCGAAAATAAAAATTATACGAAGCTTAAGACAGATTTATATAGACAGTATTCATATTTTGCCCATCAAGCGAATGGTTAGAAATTGAGTATTTAGAATTTAATGTTGTATATTTCCCTAGTAGAACTAGAGCAAATAGGACCATCTTATTTGACATCTATAGAATGTACTTTGACAGTCTAAGAATTTTGCAAATGACCAATTAAGCAGTGCAGATGTGTATCAAGAAGATAAGACTAAATCTATTCTGTTTCTCAATATGAAATCCCCACAAATGTAAATAACAGAATATTTCTTTTTATTAATGTGGTGGATGGCCTACATAATGTGGTGTTTCATTTTAAACCACATTAATTACTAATGTTCATACAATTTCATCAGCGATGTCAATATCCAAATCAATCCTTATAGATGAATAGGCTGAACTGACTATACAATCAGGCTGTTGGATTTTGGTCATTCAACAACCAAGTTAAATGATCTGTATAGTGAATTTAGGACACTGGAAAGAGGAAGATGTTACATGATGAATAGTATATACAGTAAGAGACATGCCTATTTTCTAACTTCTTTTCCTGGAATTATCACTGAATTCTTTGAAACTTATGAATTTTGTTATCCTCAAATTTTCAATCTGGAAAAGTAATAATTCATAAGATTGTCTGGCTTCATATAAAGGCTTTAGGAAGATCATTTACCTAATAAAATATTTTAGAAATATCACACAAAAATATGAAATTATAATTGATATACAATAAGTGCACAAATTCCTTTCTGAATATCCAAATTTACTTTGCAGATGACAGGGTTTTTTTTGGCTATGTTAGTTAAAATTTAAAAATTCAATGTCCTAATCTCAGGTCTATAATCCCCGTGTAAATCTGTACCTCTAATTACCAGTAATCTGAAAATAAAGGAGATCATTTATGCTGGTATGTTGACATTACTGAAATTAACAAATTATTTTCCATACAGAAGTTTCCAGGATGTTTATGTGCAAATAAAACCATCCAAAAACATGATTAAGTTAACTATCTCCTTGCCAGAATGCAGAGTTCTTGATCAAAAAGGTCCTTTAGGTCAAGAAATAGCAAGTCTCATTTTGTATCTTGGATCTGCTTATTGATATTAGAGAAGGAAGAGAAGGGACAGTATTTTATTTCTCAGAAAGAATCACAGTAAGATCCTGCAAATACAGAATAAGATAACAAAGTTTAATTTTACTTTACACTAGGAAAGTGGTGTAGGAAAACTGGTCATCACTGTGCAGCTATCTAGTTGTTGCTTGATCACTTATGTCAATGATACCCAAACTTCCCAGCCTTCAGGATTATTTAGAGAGCTTTAAAAATACATAAATAGAATATTTTATGTCTAGTATTTCTTGTTAAAAATAAGTAACTGTGAAGCCAACTTGCTAGGATGTGGGAAAACTGTGTCCTTGGTTGAACAACAGATTCCTTAACTGTCAAAATCAGGGCTTTAATAACAAGTCAGTTTTTTACTTTCTCTATCCATAACTACATAAACTTATTTTTAAAGGCAAGTCTATTTATCTATTGGATTAACATAGTGTTACCAACTGAAGAATTCTGAGCTATTACCTCACTGACCACCTCTATAGCTATATGCACAGAAAATGCAAATTAGAAGTTTTTTAAAAAGCCTTACAAAAAAGCATAATTATAAACACAAATCTATGATTTATCTGTGATAATAAATTTAAAATAACACACAAACATATATACACATATAGACATATATGAGCAAATAAAATATGTAATATATGTCAAGTAGAATAAACTCAAGTGATTTATATGAATTGGGAATCTATACACACTTCCACTGATGCTCACCTCTAATAACATATATAATCAAGATTTGAGAGTAATATTATGCTTCTTTGGCACATCTACTATTCATTTTAACAAAATGTACAATCTGCTTATTGATATTAGAGAAGGAAGGGATGGGACAGTATTTTGTTTCTCAGACAGAATCACAGTAAGATCCTGCAAATACAGAATAAGATACAAAGTTTAAATAACTGTAAGTACAAACTTCAAATACGACATTACAATAAGACTTATGTGTGGATGATGGATCAGCATTTAACTATCATATTTCATATAGCAGAATCAAATACTTATATTTTAAAGACAAAAAGTTAGAAAACTTTTTGGGAAATTTAATTGGAACTGCTGAGCTAAAAATCCTGGCTAAATATAAACTTTGGGTGACTATCATTAAAGGTGGGAAAACAACAAAACTATTTACATTGCTTATGTTTCTGTCTTGTGTATATTACATTTCTGTTACTAAAAATGTGTGTTTTGAGCATTAAATATAAAGTTTTATTTTTGTGGACTAAAAGCTCAAATTCAAGGCAGAAATCCTTTAATAGTTTGCCATATAAACCAAAGAAAAGCACAAAATTTGAAATTCCTAATTACTCCTGTCTAAATTTGGAGATCAGCAGTTCACTATTTTTCAGAGTATGTAACTCCTGTTATGACTCTCTGTGTATTTCAAATTCCTTATCCTTAAAGCTATCACTTTTTCCATTTAGCTCAACTAATATTAGTGAGCCTATAAAGTATGAGACTAAAGTAAACACTGAAATGAAAACAAAGTATTTTCTATTATTCCACTAGTTAAATTCACCAGGGAATGCAAGGCAAAACAAGTGAGTTGGAAAGATTTCACAAAGAACTACAAATACACTGTGGTATAACAAAGTAGAGGAGAATTTATCCACTGTTTTCACATTTGTATTAATATCGGAACAATATTTTCAAAGAGAATGTGAAGATACTTAAGACTTATACTGGAATGATTACTTTCAAGAATGTAATACAGTGGAATGAATATGATGATTCAGTGGATCCTTCAGCAGAGAAAGGAATTTTTCCTCACTGAATAAAATCATGAATCAACCAGGAATACTGCAGGGGGGAAATAAAGCAATAGAATTCTTTGATAAATGTCATATTAAGTAATCTGATGAACCTTGGCCAGTAGTCTTCCAAATTTACACACACACACACACACACACACACACACACACACACACACACAGATAAAAATAAATGATTTTAGCATACATTGGGATTACATAATGCATGGAAGGTTGTAAACACAGATTTCTGGGTTCCACCTCAAGAGTTTCTCATTAAGATCAGAGGAAGGAACTAAATATTTGCATTTCTATCAACTTCCCAAGTGGTGTTGTTGCTGCTACTCAGGGAACCATATTTTAAGAACCAATAAAGTAAAAGAAACTGAGAAAGAAGAGTAACGGAACAGTAATTCCAAGAGCAGTGTCTAGTTCCTCATAATTTAGCTATTTCTATTTAATTTAAAGCATTACATTGAATGATGTAGATAATTCTAATCAAAGTGAATGCTCTTTTAAACTACAGGGTTTTTTCTTACATTTGAAAAGTCCAATATCATTTTTATGAGTAAACATTAAAGCTAAAAGAAAGTCTTTATAACATTTGCATTGGGATTCTGAAACACAAGTGTAACTTGCACCACTAATTTATCATAAATGATTGTATACAGAACTGGACTACTGTGTTTTAGAAACTGTCAAGACATACATACACATATACCTACATATAGATAAACATACAAGCAGCTTTGGTCAAAGTGTGTTTTACCAGTCCAAAGAAGTAGGACATACATATTACTTGCTTATTAGAAAGAGGCATTGGATATTTTATCTGGTATCTTGCATTTAGTTTCCAAGAGAAAATGTTAATGTCTGTGAGAAATGGTAGAAAATGACAATGCAGTATTTATTTAAGCTATGGTTTACTCACAACCATTA